GTCTCGAACCCGTGGGCTCAGGCAATCCACTCACCTCAGTCTCCCAAAGTGCTAGGATTAAGGCTGAGCCACCGAGCCCAGCTAATTTTTTTTTTTTTTAAGTCAGGGTCTCACTCTGTTGCCCAGGCTGAAGTGCAGTGGCACAATAACGGCTCGCTGTAGTCTCAACCTCCTGGACTCAGGCGACCCTCCTGCCTCAGTTTTCCAAGTAGCTTAGACGGGCAGGTACCATCATGCCCAACTAATTTTTTGTTTTTTTTGTAGAGACGAGATCTCACTTGTTGCCCAGTGTTGCCTCTTGGGTTCAAGCAATCCTCTCGCCTGGGCCTCCCAAAGTGCTAGGATTACAGGCATGGTCCACCACGTCAAGCCAGAAAATAAACTGAAAAGCAGACAAGAACAAAAAACTCATCCGTTTTATAAAGCTCAATGCTGGCACACTGAACGCCAGTAACAGCCGCTGGCCTAACGGAGGGCTCACTCTGCAGGGGCACTGTTCCAGGCACTCCGAGCACATCTTCTCTTGTCCTCATCAGATTCCGGGGCACATTATGCTCATTCTGACCATAAGTGAACAGACAGCGATCAACAATACTTCCCACTGTTACACAAGTTAACACAAATTCCAGCCCAAGCTCTACAACCTGCACTCTCGGCCACCACATACTGCTGCTACAAGGCAAGTAAAATAAACTTTAGGCTGCTGGATCCAACAATATGACAGCTAAAGACTAATTAAGGTGCAAAAGGGGGAGAACCACCAATCAGAATGTCCAAGAGAAATGAGGAAAAATTAGGGTAATTCCTTCTATTGCATAGACTGCTCTCTAGGACAGCTGCTGTAATGAACAATTCTTATGTTAACATGTGAAAAACATCTTTATATGTCCCACATTCTCAATTTTGCATTTACCGAGAACATCCTAGTTAATTTTTAATTATAAGCCACAATTTTGTCCAAGAATGTAAAAATAAAAGGACTAAGAAACATGAATGTCTTTGAACCACTGGTAGTTCACTGCTGTGGTATCAACCAGCCCCATGGAGTGTGATGGCTCACATCTGTAATCCCAGCACTTTGGGAGGCAGAGAGGATTGGATTGCCTGAGCCCAGGTGTTCCAGACTAGCCTGGACAACTTGCTGAGAGCTTATCTCTACAATAAATCAAAAAATTAGATGGGCATGGTGGCGTGCCCCTGTAGTTCCAGCTACTTGAAATGCTGAGGCGAAAGGATCACCTGAACTCAGCAGGTCAAGGATGCGGTAGCCACGAGCAAGCCAATACATTCACTCCAGCCTGAGTGACAGGGTGAGACTTCAATTCAAACAAACCAGCCCCAAAAGTTTTGGGATAGAGAAAAATGGGCCCACTCCTTTTGAAAGTGAAATGAACTGTAACTCACCGAAAGCTACCCAAATCCCACCTCAGATAGGAGAGTTAACAGGGAAGTCATTCAACTAAGTGGAGTCTCCTCCGTTTCCTTAAAAGATTGCCAATAGGCAGGCAGGGTGGCTCACGCCTTTAATCCCAGCACTTTGGGAGGTCAAGGCAGGAGGAGTGCTTGAGCCCAGGCACTCGAGACCAGTCTCTGGGCAACATAGCAAGACCCTGCCTCTACAAAAAAAATCAAAAAATTAGCCAGGCATGGTGGAACATGCCTGTAGTCCCAGCTTCTTGGGAGGCTGAGGTGGAGGGATAGCCTGAGCCTAGGAGGTCAAGGCTGCAGTGATTCATGATCATGCCACTGCACTCCAGCCTGGATGAGAGAAACCTCAACTCAAAAAAAAAAAAAAGAGAGGGGATGGAAACACTCCCCCACCACAGAGTTTCTCACTCCAAGAGGTACACGAGAGCCCCAAGACTCTGGCCTTAAAGACTTCTCCACGTGCACAGGAAGGGGAGACACTTAAAGCGGGCACTGTGAAGGTGGAAGGCGGCCACGAAGCAGCCTGGCTTAGTAGCTGTGTGAGTCTCCTGTACCATCCCATTTAGAACAAGCTCACAATGTTCTTTTGAACTGCTTAAGAACTGAGTCAAGGAAGGAGAGCAAGTAAAGAAAGCAGATTGCAATGGACAAAGTCTGTGCCCCCCAAAAATTCACACTGGCATTCTAACCCCAAAGGTGATGGTACTAGGTAGGGTCTTTAGAAACTGATGAGGTCATGAGAATGGGATATGAATGATATCAACAGCCTTAAAAGAGAGGCCCCAGGAAGAACCTTCACCCCTACCACCAGGTGAGGTTAGAATGAAACAATAGCTGTCTATGAGAAAATGGGCCCTCACCAGACACCAAATTTACAGGCACCTTAATCTTAGGCTTCCAGTCTCGAGAACTGGGAGAAATAAGTTTCTATTGTTGTAAGTCACTCAATTGATAGCATTTTGTTACGTAGCCTGAATACACTAAGACACCAACTTGATAAGAACACTCACTTTATTCCAGAGATCTTCAAACTCTTCTTGTCCAAAAGACCCATTGACTGTGCCAAAAAAAAAAAAAGAGCGCTACAGGTGAGTCAAATCATGCCATTGTCTCAATAACACAATTCTTAAAAAAAGAAACAAGCGTCTGATGTAATTTTTGCCTCAGAAGCCATTTAAGTGCAGAGGGTGACAATGAAACAATCCACAACAACAATGGCACACACAGTCCTGAGGCCCATCTCAGCAAAGCCCATCATGCCCCTCCTGGAGCTGCACAAGTAGAGGGGCATGACTGAAGAGCAAAAGTCACAAAATGAGAAACTAACACAAACAGGAAACGGGTCCTTATTATGTGTATGTCAACACTTGTCCTCATTCTATCACAACTTAAGGAAAAGTACTACATCCTCAAGCAAAATTATTGAAGACTGCAAGCAAATGACAGAATAAAGTCTTAAGGATCATTAAAATCACTTACAGGCGTTTCATAGATACTAAGGGTATCAAGAGTCATTCTGGCAAAGAATTTACCATCATGGCTCCACCTAAAAAGAAGAAAAAAAAAAGAAGTATCAGTGGTATTTCAACTAAAAAAGAAAAGGCTATGAAGAGGTCATTGTACGAGTCTACTTACTTAAAAATAGGCCAGTGGGCTGAGCTTTCACAGTGAAAACCTCTCTTCTTGTGCCCCGTAAGGATGTCCCAGATGATTATGGCCTGAGGGTCATCCTGAGTGTCCATCAGGGGGCTAAATGTCACCAGGTATCTGCAAGAAAGGAAGGAACACCCTGTAGCACCTCCTCTCACGTGGGGATCACAACCCCGCATGTGTACGCGGCAAGTATCTGCCCACTATGCAGTAGCAGCGGCTGCACTTTGGCACGCAGGAAGCATCAGGAGGTTATGGGCACAGGATGGACTCACAGAACCAGCAACTTCCCCAACATCACAGACCCCAGTCCCAGGAGATCCCCTAAGAAGTGGGGGCAGAACAAGCACTTCTATGGCCTGAGTACTCCTTCACTCTTGGCACTGGGGGGCTGCAAGAGTCTTAGTTTCTCCAAGATCAGCACAAAGACCAAACAGATCCTAACAAAGCCTGCTAGAGTGGTCTAAAGAAAAGAGTGGGATGAAATTCTCACTCTATCTTCACCCATGTTTAATGGAGACTAATAAGGTGAACAGAACAGATGGTCACGTATGGTTCAAAAGCAAGTACAGGTCTGATGGGACACTTCCTGGCTGGGGGCTTCTCCCAGCAATTATTTACCTCACTACTGGCTTGTCTAAAGTTATAGCACCTGTTCCCTTAGTTGTAGTAAGTACCCTAAACCAGACTGCCCCCTACAACAATGGCAGGAGAACAGCAGAAACAATGGAAGCAGAAAACATTCCCCTAATCTAGCTAGTTTCTTCATACTGCTTTTAGTGACTGTATCTCTTTCTATTAAGGATATGACATCTTGATTAACTAGATTAAAAATGATGACTTCACTCACCTCCGCCTGGAAGGTATTACCACAGAAACTGTTGAAGCTCATAAATGAAAAACAGACTTTTCACATTGCAACTTACATAACCAAAGCGTTCACTTATCTATTCATTCAAGTACTTCCTGAGTCAAACACTTTGCAAAGCATGGGGATAAAACAATAAATAAGACATAGTCCAGTCTCTGTTCTTGAGTGAACACAGATGTGCAGACAGAGATACATTATAACTTAATGTGGCAAGTATAGCAACCTAAACAATGGCTAGGGAATACTGTGCAGGTGGAACCAATTGCCTACAGACACCTGGAGAAGCTTCACAGGAGATGAAGGAATGCATAAGGCCTCATACACCTGTACATTACCCCAGCACCAAGATCAGCCTAAGAGTCTCTGTGAATCCAAGTTTAATATATTGCTGCTGAAACGAGGAACATCATATGCAAAATGTTTGGGAATTAATGAGTACTTTAAGAACATAGCACATAAAAGCTACTCATCAAAATTAACTCATTGGCAATAGCTGACATGAATTTACGTCATTCCAAATTCTGCTGCTGGTTGCCGCTGACGTCAATTTACGTCTTTGCACATTCTGTTTCTGAATATTATATATCCGGTTTATAATCCGAATAAAAACACAAAGAATAGAATGCTAGTCAGAGTGATTTCCGAAGCAAATATTGGCTATGTCTGCAACTTTCAGCTGTATTGTGAAAAAGGTGACAATTCAGAAAAAATCTTTCACCTGTGCTTAATGATAGATGTTTGTAGCAATCAGCTTCAGATTTTTTTATTTTCACCTGCAATCAGTATTAGAAAAGTGAAAATTTTGCTGAGAATGTATTAAGAAATATCCATCAGCTGGAACTTATGATTTACAGGAAATACAATAATTTAAAGAAACAAGTTAAATGATGCCTCAGGTAATCAGACATCTGGTTCTGTCTTCTCAACAAGTCAATATGGCCGGGTACAGTGGCTCATGCCTGTAATCCCAGCACTTTGGGGGGGGGGCTAGAGGACTGTCTGAGCTCAGGGGTTCGAGACCAGTCTCGGCAACTTGGCGCGACCCTGTCTCTACAATAAATCAAGAAAACTTAACCAGGCATAGTGATGCAGGCTTATAGTTCCAGCTACTTGGAAGGCTAAGGCAGAAGGAGTGCCTGAGTCCAGCAGGCTGAGACTGAGGTGGCTGTGAGTGTGCCACTGCACTCCAGCCTGGGTGACAGACTGAGTCTCTGATGCAAAAAAAAAATTAAAAATAAATAAAACAAGACAAAAAAGGCTTAAAAGACACACCTACTAAGTGCAATGTGCACAACCTGATTGGGCTCAGGTTCCAACAAGCCAGCCGTGAAACCCAAATACATACCAGTATGTTAAATGTTACTAAGGAAGTACAGAAAATTTCTACAGACAAGAGTTCCATTCCAAGAGTGCATTCGTAAGTCCAATTTGTAAGTCCAATAAAGTTAGCCCAGGTACCCAACTAACACAATCTCCTATATAGTACTGTACTATAATAGGTTCATAATACTTTTCACACAAATAATACATAAAAAACAGACACAAAAAATAAAACTTTTAAAACCTTATAGTACAGTACCTTGAAAAGTACAATAGTACAGTCCAACACAGCAGCTGGCATACAGGAATTGGCATCCAGTGAACAGGAAAGAAGAGTTACTGACTGAAGGAGGGGGAGGAGGTGGGAGATGGCAGGGCAGAGCTCAAGAAACACCAGCAACAGGAGGCAGAGTGCAAGCTGTAATTTCACTTATACCTGATATTGAAGGCAGAGGTTCTGGTTCCTTGCTGGATTTAATTCTATCTCTCTTCTGAAAAAACTATTCAGTGACATCTGGGTAGTAGCTCTTTTTTTCTCATCACAGATGACACGATAGCACTGGATTGCGTTCTGAATGGCTGCTGCAACCTTCATGTACCATATTCTACATTTGGGTTCTGTGCCTCAAAGACTAACAGTGCCTCCTCAAATAATGTAAACGCACGTTCGCATCTTTGAAAGCTTGCAACTTAAAGGAAGTCCCCAACATATGAATGAGTTCTGTTCCAAGGTTTGTAAGTCTAATTTGTTTTAAGTCCAACAAAGTTAGACTGGGTACCCAACTAACACCATCGGCTATGCAATACTGAATGTATTTAACAGGCTATATCGACGCCTGGTGGCAAGAAATAATACCCTGAAAAAGCTTAGAGGACTCACAGTATCAGCAACGGTATGTAAAAAGGAGCTTAGAGAATGGGGAGAAAGGGCACAAGGCACACACGAAGGGATGCAGCGTGCCCAAGGCAAGGCTCCTCCTCACTCTGCCCACACCCGCCTTCTCACACAAACCTCTGCTCTACGGACCATCTCAGACGTGAGAAAAAAGCCTTCATAAGAAAAATGTCTGGAAAACACTAGGCCTTGGGCTAGATCCTGAACTGAAGGAAAATAAATATTATTTAGGACATTATTAGAGCAAGTAACAAAATTAGAATATAATGCCTTAAATAAAAGTATTAAACCAATACTAGATGTCCTAAATTAAGTAACTGTACTGTGGCTATGCTAAGAAAACTCTACTCCTAGAACGACATACTTAGGAGTAAAGGGACAACGATACTTCAACTTACTCCCAAATGGCTCAGGAGAAACATTTATGTCCTTGTATTTTGGAACAGGAAATCATAAAGCAAATGCAACAGATGTTAACTGGAGAATTTCAGTCAAAGTATATTCAAGTTCTTTGCACTTCTACAATTTTTCTCCTAAGTTTGAAATTACTACAAAATAGAAAGCTCTAAAATATTATCCGTAGAAGGTTGGCACAAGGTGAAAAAAATAAAAGATTCCTTTTGCATCTTTCTAATTGCTTACCTTTCACAAGGTGAGAAGTCAATGAGCTGAACCCCTTGGTGGCTGAATCTCTGAATTTGCTTGAATTTCTCTCCCCCCCAAAGAGCAATGCCTCTTTGATGGAAGGTAGCCAGATAGGTGCCCTTAGGAGACCAACGCACATACGTCTCTGTCCACCTCTGCAGAAAAAGGTAGTGCCTTTGTTCACGCAACAACAAAAAGCCAAACACAAAGACTCTCATAAAACGCATCTGTTCCTCAAACTCTTACCCAATGTACACAATAAGCCTGTTCGCTTCTCATGACTTATTTCAAAGCCAGAGGAGGAATAAAAGAAAGCAATCTCAAAGAAAATGAAATGAGGCCTGCTCTTTCATCAGTTTCCAACGAAAGGAACTACAGGAGGGGCAAGGCCCCCATGACAGCAAATACTCACCGCTCTCTCCTCAATGGAGACAGGATCTTTCACATCATTCCAGAATATGGAGGTGCGGTCTCCACTCTCAAAAATCACACTGTATTGATCTCTGCATTCTGCCTCTTCAAGCCAGTATCGTAAATTCCCCTAAAAAAAAAAGCGGGGAATATAGTAACATGTCATTAATTTTAATCAAACAAGTCTCGATTACAACTAATGTTCTAAAAGATTTCAAGGAAGCCATAACCTCAAGTCAAGACGCTCAGCATTCCTTTCAACTACTTAGATGCAAATTTTATACAACCTACCAGGTCTTTGAAAGGTTGTTTTTCTGGAATATCCCATTCATCACTGATCGTCATATACCTAAAAGACAAAAAGAAACTGTCAAGTTACACACCCTAATGACTGGAACAAGGGGTACCTCTGTCAGTGGCCCAGCCACAGGACTGCTTCTCCAGTCCAACCCAACGGTAGGGAAAGCACAAGTTCTGACTGGCATCACAACTAGTGAGGGGTATTGCTGGCCAGGAGCGGAGGGAATGTGAAATGGCCCCTCAACAGCCTGACAACAAGGACGAGAACACCCTGAAAGGCCTCTGGCACCCCCACGTGGGCAAGTCATTTGCAAATGTCCACTTTGTCATGGCCAAGTCTGAACTCACTTGTCAAAATCTGTGAAGAGGTTGACCCGGAAAGTGTGCTGCTTGTCAAGCTTGTAGCCGTCAGCATTCTTAACAGCATCCACAGCGTGAGCAGGAGATGCATATTCCAGGAAAATGTACCTGAAATGAGAAAGGGTGATGTGCACAGTGCAGACTGTAAGATCAGACAGAGCTGGAGGTAGTGGCTCAGGCTTATAATCCCAACACTTTGGGAGGCTGAGGTGAGAGAATTGCCTGAGCCCACGGGTTTGAGACCAGCCTGGGCAACTTGGTGAGCCTCATCTCGACGATAAAAATTTAAAAATTAGCTGGGCATGGTGGCGCATGCCTGAAGTTCCAGCCACTTGGAAGGCTGAGCCAGAAGGATTGCCTGAGCCCAGTGGATTGAGGCTGAGGTGGCTGTGAGTGTGCCACTGCCCTCCACTAAGGGCAACAGAGTGAGACTCCGACTCAAAAAAAAAAAAAAAAAAAAAAAATCAGACAGGTCCCACTACCCTACCCACCCAGGAGCTGCCCACAGATATGCCTCCTCCACACCAGAGGGTATCTGCAATTGCTCTTAACAGCCATGGGCCCAAGGCAGTCAAATGAGGATAAATCACTAGCAGCCAAGTACCTCCCTAAGCAAGAAAGAAATCTCAACCAGAAGAAGCAAAGTCTCTAGCTTCATAATCATAAATTATGGAAAATAAATCAAAATGTTTGTTATCTTGACTGTGGTGATGGCTTCACAACATATACATACATCAAAACCTACCAAATTGTATATTTTAAAGCTAGGCGAGGCTGGGTGCAGTGGCTCAAGCCTATAATCCCAGCACTTTGGGAGGCCGAGGTGAGAGGACTGCCTGAGCCCACAGGTTTGAGACGAGTCTGGGCAACTTGGCGAGACCTCATCTCTACAATAAACCAAAAAAATTAGCCAGGCATGGTGATGCATGCCTGTAGTTCCAACTACTTGGAGGGTTGAGGTGAAAGGATCCCCTGAGCACAGCAGGTCAAGGCTATGGTAGCTGTGAGCATGCCAGTGCTCTCCAGCCTGGGCAACAGAGTGAGACTCCAACTCAGAACAAAAAGAAATCACAATGAAGAAAGTTTAACAAGAATGTGGAACAACTCTACAATGTTACTCCTAAGTACTTTAACACAAAAACTCTCATACTTGTATAGGTGGTGGGTACAACACTATTCATAATTGCAAAATACTAAATGTCAGTCAAAAGGAAAACAGACAAATTGTCATATGAGAACAGGATACCACAGCATTTAAAATGAAGGAATCAGAATCACATGTGCTAACATGGAACAAAAAAAGCAAACATACTCTAGGCTAGCATTATTTTCAAAAGACTCATCATTATTTCAGGTGACGCTAAGAATAAAAAGTGAGGCCACTATCTTGCTAAGCTATGGTGTGGCCATGTGCTCTTTGAACTATGGCCAGGCCATGTGTTTTTTGTTTTTTTTGAGTTGCAGTCTCACTCTGTAGCACAGGCTGGAGTGCAGTGGCACGCTCACAGCCACCCCAGCATCAACCTGCTGGGCTCCAGTGATCCCTCTGCCTCAGCCTTCCAAGTAGCCAGAACTACAGGTGTGTGCTACTGGACCTGGCTAATTTTTTTTATTTATTGTAGAGACAAGGTCTTGCCAAGTTACCTGGATTGGTCTCGAACCCACAGGCTTCAGTAATTCACTCACCTCAGCCTCCCAAAGTGCTGGGATTACACGTTGAGCCACTGAGTCCGGCTCAGGTCATGTTTTCTTAAGCTTCAACCCCCTCCCCAACCTTGGGGAGGTAAATCACCTCTCTCTCTCTCTCATTTACTTTCTAATAAACTATATTCTCTAATCTGAAAAAAAAAGAATAAAAAGTGAAAAGTAGTGACAGGGTTTTTAAACATTTCACCGGGACTGTAAGAAGCATCCCCGTTTCAGATATTAAAATGTGAAATAAAGCACATATCAGAATCAACAAAATTCCATATGCAACATTTTCCTAAAATTCTACCAGCTTACAGATCCATCAATGCCTTTACCCAGGATGTATCTTATATCCGTTCTGTTCTGATGGCAGAGTTAAACAGCAAGCCGATTTAGCAGTCAACTCAGAATAACCACAAAACAAGAACCACGCAATGATTTCCTTCTTCCTCTGTCTGATAACCTAGGACCAAATCACAGCTCTTGAGGGCTTCCAGTTGCAGGCAACCAGACTTAAAGAAAGTGTCTACCGCCGGGCTCGGTGGCTCAGCCTGTAATCCCGCGCCTTTGGGAGGCTGAGGTAAGTGAATTGCCTGAGCCCACAGGTTCGAGACCCACCTGGGCAACTTGGCGAGACCTCATCTCTACAATAAATCAAAAATTAGCCGGGCGTGGTAGCATGCACCTGTAGTTCCAGCTACTTGAAAGGCTGAGGCGGGAAGGATCGCCGCCGGAGCCCAGCAGGTCAAGGCTGCGGTGGCTGGGAGCGGCCACTGCACTCCAGTCTGGGCGACAGAGTGAGACTCCAACTCAAAAAAATAAAAAGAAACAAAGCGTCTACTGCCAGGGAGAGGCAGACACTGTAACACTTGGACCAGATACAAACAAGGCTTCAACAACTGAGAACATACTCACCCTTTTGTCTTCCCATCCTCTTCAGGATAAAAATCATTTGTAATTTTCCCAAACTTGGAAAAGATCTTGTGGATGACATTCTTGAGTTTCTCAAGTCGGTCAGGTCCTACCTGAGGAACATTGTCCACTACAATGACCGAATCAATTCCATCTGCTTCCTGGGGCCGATCTTTGAGTATATCTCCCAGCAGTTCTGTACGAGAGAGATTTGTCAAATTACTTTTTAATTTATTAAATCAAGAGAAACACAATACATTAGTTAGCTTAGCAGACTGACAAATCTCCAAGAAGCAAAAATTGAGTAATCAAAATGCTTTTACTGTGAACAAAAAACACCATCCTTGACTGTGTTAAAATTTAAACATGAAAGAACTGGAAAGACTTTAACCCTTCGCACTCCCTTTGGAATGTAAACAGTCATGATATATCAATTGATTTGTCAATAATGGAAGATTTGAAGAGAATAATAAAAAGCCTGATATCCCACCACTTTGGGAGGCAGAGGCGAGGACTGTCTTAGCCCAAGGGGTTTGAGACCAGCCTGGGCAACATGGCGAGACCTCATCTCTACAATAAATCAAAAAACTAGCTGGGCATGGTGGTGCATGCCTGTAGTTCCAGCTACTTGGAAGGCTAAGGTGGAAGGATCACCAGAGTCCAGAAGGTTGAGGATACGGTGGCCATAAGCACACGACTACACTCCGGTCTGGGTGACAGAGTAAGACTCCAACTCAAAAAATTTTTTTAAAAAAGCCTTAGTAATGCAAACAAAGAAAATCTGAAGAATATCCAATACTAGATCTTTGAGCAATCCCTAGATTTCAAAAGGTTTCTAGTAACATCTAGGCAAAATCCCATTCCAAGGTCTAAAACCAACTTTCTATAGAAGATTTTAGCAAACAAGTAAATATTTAAGTGCTCGAGTCATTCACAGCACTTTTGTTTTAGTGAATATAAATGACAAGTTATTCAAGGAGGAACATACCTATTTAGTGAATTGGGATAGAAAATAATAAAAAGAACAGCGTATCATGAAGATACAACTCTTCACCCACCCTCCTGTTCAGATAGTTTCATACCTTTCAGACAGTGAACTAGATGGCCTTCCACAAGGAAAACAGGAAAAAGACAACAAGGGCGAGGGGAACACACCAGGAGTAAGTCTTCCCAGACTTCTCTCCATGCAAACAGCACACCACCTACACTTTCTTGCCCAGAAATTTCAAAACAAAACAAGCTCTTATCCGATATTACCAACATAAAAAGGCTCTAAGGATAAAACAAACTACTGTAGGAGGCCAGAAAAACCCAAGCACTATTCCTACTCTCATACACCACTCAACACAACACTTCTGACCCCAGATGTTTGGGGGGGGAAGGTCACCCATACACCAAGCAGGTCCCCAGGGGACACTAGCTGGGTATCCTATAACTTAACTGCATTCAGACACTATCTTCCTGGAGTTAGCAACAGACCGCACAGGCTGAGGACTCAGTCCCACAAGACTGGCCTGTACTTCAAAGGCCTTTCATAAGCAGTAGGTTGTCATCAATTCTTCTAATGTACAGGCTATAACCCAGGCTCCCACTATCCCCTTCTGGGTTCTGTTAATTTGCCGGAGCAGCTCACAGAACTCAGGGAAACACATTTACCAGTTTATCACAGAGAATATTACCAAGAGCACAGATGAGTCACATGGAAAAGGCACTCAAGGCGAGGCACATGGGAAAGGGCGGAGCTTCCATGAGTTCTCCAGGCTTGCCACCCTTCAGGAGCTGCTATGCCTTTGGGACTTAGAAGCTCTCTGAATCCCACCCCTCTGGTTTTTTGTTTTGAGTTGGAGTCTCACTCTGTTGCCCAGGCTGCAGTGCAGTGACACACTCACAGCCACCCCAGCATCGAATCGCTGGGCTCCAGAGATCCTTCTGCTTCAGCCTTCCAAGTAGCCGGAACTACAGGCACGTGCTACCACGCCCAGCTACTTTATTTATTGTAGAGAGGAGGTCTCATCAAGTTGCCTGGGTTGGTCTTAAACCCATGGGCTCAGGCAATCTACTCGCCTTAGCTTCCCAAAGTGCTGGGATTACAGACTGAGCCACTGAGCCCTGCCCACCTCTGGATTTTTAGGCATGATTGGCGATCAACTCAACTTTCAGTCTCTCTCCCTTCTTAAGAGGTTGGTTGTAAGGAGCCCTCAGTCAGTCACCTTATTAGCCTATAAAAACACACTTAGCACTTTGGAGATTTCAAGGTTTTTAGAAGCTGTGTGCCAGGAACCAGGGGCAGAGCCCAAATACATATTTATTATATCACGACAGCTTTGTTGGAAAACAACAGCAGGGCAGAGATGGGCACTTAAACTGGGAGACCGGAGAATACAGCGATTCCTGAGAGTTATTTATTTACTTTTTAAAGAGAGACAGAGTCCTGCAATGCTGCCCAGGCTGGCCTCAAGCTTGGGCTTAAGCAATCCTCTGCCCTGGCCTCCCAGCATGCTGGGACTACAGGAGAGTGCCACTGCTCCTGTCAAGAGTTTAGTTGTTTAGTTAGCAGTATTTTTATTTTCTTAGTGGTAAGAGAATGACATATCCTTCAACTGATGGTGTCTTGGACTTAATGAAATGCCTCGTGGAGCTGTTGGAAGGCATCACATTTAAGAAGGTGAAGTCTGTTAGCACTTAGGTCAGTGCTGGGAATAGTAAGCAGTGTGGTACCATTATTCCATAACTGCACCTCAAACAAAATGTTCTCAATGTTCATGCCACCTGCTTTCAAAACCCAAAGCTTAACTACTCAAACTTCCTAAAATTGCTTCATTTCCACTAACGGTCGGGTGGAATAAGAGAAAGAGAAGGGAAGACCCATGCAAAAAGAACTAGAAAAAAGAACCAGGAGAGGAACAAGCACAAACGGACTGGGACAGCAGACAGGAGCGCGCAGGCGAGTCGGGCGACTCAAGGCTACCTGGAGGTGCCACTGCAACTTTATGCAAGGCTTGTCTCAAGGCCTTGAGCACCTTTGGCCAGAAAGCTCCAGCCCCTATAAAAACACCTGACCACCACTTGCAGATGGGCTTACCGGAGGCAAAAATGAGCAACAAATGACGTACAGCAAATCCTAACTTTTCAATATCAATTCTGTACAAATCCTAAACCCAATTAGCTAGCTTGCCTAGAAAACTGTAAAATTATGAGGTGCTGGGTTAGGAGCTGGAACAGAAAGACATTTTTCAGAGCTGCCACCAAGGCATACTCCTTAGAGAAAACTGCATCAGTAAATATAGCCAAAATGAGGTTATGAAAAATGGTTTGTAACACGAATATTCATTGTTCTGGAACCTAGTTATCACTCTAGGTTTTTGTTTTGGAGTTGGAGTCTCACTCTGTTGCCCAGGCTGGAGTGCAGTGGCATATTCACAGCCACCAGTCTTGGTCTCCTGGGCTCGGGCAATTCTCTCACCTCTGCCTCCCAAAGGACTGTGATTACAGGAGTGAGCCACCGTGCCCGGCTATCACTCTAGTTTTTTATTACACAGCACTCAAGGATTTCAACAAGCTAAACAAAACAGATGTCAGATTCTTTGCTGCATCACAGCCTCAAAAGTGAAGCCGAGAGCCCCATGCCGTGGCGTATGCCTGTAGTCCCAGCTATTTGGGAGAATCGTTCAGCTTTTTCAGACACAGTGAGAGCCTGTCTCTGAAAAAACCCAAAGCAAGTTAAGGTGAATTCTCTTTACTTTTGCACGTGCTTGAAATTTTCCATAATAAAAAGTTTAAAAGGACTTTCAAAAGGAGAAGAAACTAATTTCCAGAGGCAAGCCCCTAATAAACGATTTATTAATTTCAACACTTTCAGGAAAACTGAAAATGTTATCTTGAAAAATAATTGCCACCTGACTATCTTTTTTTTTTTTTGAGTTGGAGTCTCACTCTGTCGCCCAGATTGGAGTGCAGTGGCCGCTCCCGGCCACCACAGCCTCGACCTGCTAACTACAGGCGCACGCTACCACACCCGGCTAATTTTTGATTTATTGTAGAGATGAGGTCTCGCCAAGTTGCCCAGGCGGGTCTCGAACCCGCGGGCTCAGACAATTCACTCACCTCAGCCTCCCAAGGTGTGAGATTACAGGCTGAACCACAGAGCCCGGTGCCACCTGAATTTCAAAGACACTAAAGTTGAGACCAAATAACAAGGAAAAAGGGGGAAAGCGGCAGCCACAAGCCATAACAATGTCAGACGTCCACCCTATGGGAACTCCTCAGACAGCTGGGTTACTCTGAAGCGCACACGCCATGCAATTAAGTGGCCTATGAGTCTGATCTGCGTTTACAAGGCTTACAAAAAGCCCAGCATCTGCACAAGCTGCGGACTCCTTCCCACAAGCTCAAAGTGTTCATGTTGTAAGAACCTGCCCACGCCTAGGAGGAGGGAGCCACACACTGAAGAGACACATCCTAATCACCACTAGCCCAGGCATCAGTTACTCTCAGCTCCGACTCCCAGTCTGTCTCCAGCGAAAATAGATGAAAGCAACTTCAAAACTAAATAAACAACAAATATAAAAAGAATCTCTAGTGAGCCAAAAGCGACGACATTTGGAGTTAAAATCTTGACCACATATTTGTTTCACCAAACAACAAAGGCAACTGAAACACTAAACTGAAAGGATGATCACAGGTTAAGATGCTAATCTGTGTCAAAGAATGAGGAGGAAGACAGGGACTCCCCCAGTCTGTGGGTCCACAGTCTGGCTGCTCCTCCTAAGACTCAGTCCGTTTAGGGATGAAACGCATAGTTTCACACACTCCTTCCAGATCGCTCTGACCCTGCAGGGCAGCTCTTCTCAGAAAACAACACACCTGCCTGAGCTGTCGGGAAACAGATAGCTGAGTTTTAGCTCCTCAGGACCAGGCGCTTCATCTGTCACTCTGGCTAACACTGCACACCTCAGGACCACAGGGACTACCCGAGGACCCACAGCAGTGGTCTAGCCTGGTCAGCCTTGGGCTCACATTAGCATCCTCTGAATGTCCCCAATAACAGAAATAATTCACATGTTACAAATCTGTGAAGTCAGACGGACTCTATTTTAATTTATTTTAATTTTTTGAGTCAGGGTCTTACTCTGTTGCCCAGGCTGGAGGGCAGTGGCACAATCATGGCTCAACACAGCCTCCAACTCCTGGGCTCAATTCCTTCCACCTCAGTCTCCTGAGTACAATAGTGTGTTTTGTTTTTTCCAAAAGAACTCAATTGTAGACTGGGTACAGTGGTTCATGCCTATAATCTCAGCACGTTGGAAGGCCAAGGCAGGAGGGCTGCTTGAGTCCAGGAGTTCGAAATCAGCCTAGGCAACGCAGTGAGAACTCGTACCCACAAAAAATTTAAAAATTAGCTGGGCATACTGGCACGCACCTGTAGTCCCAGCTACTCAGGAGGCTGAGGCAGGATGGCCAGAGCCCAGGAGGTGGAGACTGCAGTGAGCCCTGATTCTGCCACTGCACTCCAGCCTGGGCAAGACTGAGACCCCGATTCAAAAAAATTAAAAATCTCAATTGCAGAATGTCTAAAGGCTCAAAATGAGCATTAAATCAAAATTTTTATTTTAAAATAAAAGAAAAATTGGTATGTTAAAAAGGACACTGGTCTGGGCAGGAGAGCCTGGTGGGAATCCCAGCAACACTGACCCACTCGAATTCTCAGGAACCTATGCCACCATAAGGGACACATTTCCTCAGAGGTGAGGGGCTTATACAGGACATTCCCAGAGTAATCACTAATTTGTGGTGTCTTTCCTAATTTTCATACTAAAATGTCTTTCACCTTATGGTCATAGTCACTGAGTCTGTTAAAAATATTTAAACTGACCAGGAGTAGGTGGTTCACGCCTGTAATCCCAGCACTTTGGGAGGCAGAGGTGAGAGGATTGCCTGAGTCCAGGGGTTCGGGAGCAATCTGGGCAACTTGGCGAGACCTCCTCTCTACAATAAATCAAAAAATTAGCCGGGCGTGGTGGCATGCCCAAGTAGTTCCAGCTACTTGGGAGGCTCAGGCAGAAGGATCCCCTGAGACTAACAGGTCGAGGCTGCAGTGGCTGTGAGCATGCCACTGCACTCCAATCTAGGTGAGAGTGAGACTGTGGTTCAGAAAAAAACAACTAAATTAAAAGCTGGCAACTCAGCCAGGCTGGGTGGCTCAGGCTGTAATCCCGCGCCTTTGGGAGGCTGGGGTGAGTGGACTGCCTGAGCCTGCGGGTTCAAGACCCGCCTAGGCAACTTGGCCAGACCTCATCTCTACAATAAATCAAAAAATTAGCCAGGTGTGGTAGTGCTCGCCCGTAGTTCCAGCTACTCGGAAGGCTGAGGCGGAAGGATCGCCGGAGCCCAGCAGGTCGAGGATGTGGTGGCCGGGAGCGGCCACTGCCCTCCAGTCTGGGCGACAGAGTGGGACTCCGACTCAAAAAAAGAACAAAAACTGGCAACTCTAATGTTGGTTCCTTAGGTTTTCTGTGTGTCTCACTGTCCACTTCAGTAGGGGTGTTTTTATTTTTCTCACTTTAGTGTTAACTCAGTCAACAGGCTGAAGAAGGGGTCGACGTGCTCCCAGCTTGAAAAGCCAAAATATTTAAAAACAAAACAAAGCCAACGACCGTAAGAAGTCACTTTAGGAGACAAGCTCCCAGGCAGGAAGCCCAAATACTGCCTAGAAGCCCAATCACGGCAGAAACGAACAGAGCTAAAGCCTGAAAAGATAACCTGCCAACAGAAGGCCCTGCCCTATAAGCCTGGGAAAGGAAAAGAAAAAAGAAAGCGGCCTCTGGCAGGGTCCGCCCGGCGCTGTCCCACTGGGACGACACCGCTGCGGGGGAAGCGGACTGAGCCACCGGGCTCCACCGCCGGCTCCTCCGATGGCACCCGAGG